TATATAGGGATAAAAATTAGCAAAATATAATGAACTGTGAAAGAAACATACAAGAAAAGAATTAAAACTGAAAAAGATTTTTGGTAGAGCAGCACATATGCGATTAGGATAAAGTGAGCGAACGAACTCGATCTCGAATTAAACCAGATCAGTTAAGAGAACAAAAACAATAAGATAATATATTACTGTACAAAATGAACCTTCAACATCCCTTCACGGAACTCAATCAAAATGCATTTGTCGGAATAAATTGTTGTTGTTGGAGATGACAATTCGTTTGAATATTCAGCTGGAGAGGATTATCATCGATGCTATCATTATTATCTATTGTTTGCTCATCCATTATTGCATCGTCGTCGTCATCACTGTCCGATTCAATTGAGTCATCCTCTCCATTATTCCCTTCTGATTCTTCTTTTATAATGGTAGTTTTAAAATCCCCCTCATCTCTTTCCGCCATTATAATTTCACCCTTTTCCACACTTCCATTCGCCTTCGGTAATTCCAATTCGCGAACGTTCAGTATTTGCGGTGTTGCTGACACTGCTGTTGTACGTCCTCCTGAAGTATACTTCGATTATAATACAACTCACATGAAGGTGATGTGAATTAACAACCTGAAGAGGCAGCAGTTGCTTGCTTCATCATATGTTGATTGAATAAATTCTGTGCCATCATATCAGCCATAAAATTACCACCAGGTAGATGACTTGTTGCTGTTACTGAACCGGTTCCTAAATTTGGACTGTCTAATTATCATTACTTTTGAATTCAATATCCCATCTTATTTGAAATTAGTTGGTATGCTGTTGTACGGGTGTTAGAAAAGACAGCAAATGACAAGTATAGAAAACGCAAATAGACCACACTTAAAAAAAGAAGATTTTCAATGATAAATCGGATATACGCGAGTTTGAAGTAGGTAATTTCAGTAAGATGTTTGATGGGTACTGATGAAGCTTCTTCTCACTCGTTATTTTTCAGCAATCGCTTACTTGAGAGAGTGCCGGCAGGTAGACCAAGTTCAATCTCTTTCTGACGTTCACTGATTCGTGAAACAAGTTTCATCGCCCACGTCAACTTCAACTTGATTTGTCCACCATGCTCTTGCAGCAAACCTGGTGCCTTTTCCATAATATAATCGCGCGCTATAGCCAACGCTTGTGATGCTGTTAAATGACCACGAGGATCCGACTGCTTCACCTGTAAACGGACAAACAAAAGTTAGAACTGATTAGATTGAATGAATGTAATCATCACCTGAACCATGTAATCAACCAATTCCGCATCCAATTCATCACCAATCAGTTTTGGACGCCCACGACCTCGCCCTCGCAAAAAGCCAGGACTACCCGAGCAATGCGCTGCGTTCAACTTATTGTTTACGTGTTGCTCACATTGAAGAACGAGCTGCTGTTGCTGCAATTGTCGTTTGAAGTACTTACGCTCCATTAGATTGTAACACTGAGTGGCGCAAACGATTGTTTCTATGCGACAGTGAAGTGAAACCTTATTATTAGCAGAGGTCTGCTGATTGTTGTTGATGAACGACAAAGATGTACTCCAATCACTCTCGAGATCATCGCCTGAGGCTACACTCGGCGAGTCAATGCCACACCCGCGTGCCGCTGCTGATTGTCGTTGTCCTGCATTTGCTATTATGATTCAAGCCTTACCTATATTATCAACTCTTCAACAACAATATTAAAAAAACCTGAGATGTGCTGTTGTCTGAACTGTTTGCGATGATAATACGCGGCCACTGCTGGTGGTATATTAAACTTTCGCGCTGCTGCGCTAGCACCATGAATATTGGCATACTCTGCAACAACTTTCTTCTGAGAAGCTGAACAGTACTTGGAACGTCGACCGCAACTATTCGTTGTTGTATTGTTTATGGTGGTGCTTGATGATAAAGACGAGCAAGCAGATGATACATCTTCAATTACATCTTATTACGACCAATCAATGAATAATCTAACAGAAAAACAAATCAAATAAGTAAGCAACAGTAACTTACTGTTGCAGATATTATTTCGGTTTGATGTCGACGAAAATACTTTCGGTGAGGCATTAACGGCAGCCGTTTGATTACTGTTATTGTTATGATCAATACTATTATCATTATTGCTAGTGATGGCAAGAGCTTGCACGAATCCAGCCAAACCATTACCACTGTTCATTGGACAATTCTGTTGTTGGAGTAGAATTTGTGATAACAATTGGTCACATCCATCCACATTCGATAACAAACTTGTCATCTGTGAAACTGCTGCCGATGTGACGTTTAATTCTGTCGATGATGAGCAGTTAGGTGAAGGGGATAATGGTGCTTGCGGCGACGACGTCTGAATATTATTGTAATTAATATTGCTGTTATTGTAATTATTCTCTTTCGTCGAACAACAAGCATCCAACAACATTTTTGTTCGCTTCGAATCGTAGCAGCAGTAATCAGTCGGAGTGCTGTACGATGCAAAAGGTATTTTCGATGAATCGCACACTTTCATTCTCATCATTTGAGTTTTATACGTTGGCGCACATATCTCACATGGACAAGCTGGCACATGGAGCGCATTCATGAGCAATGTCACCTAGAATTTATTGTTATTATTATCATTATTGTTAGAGAAGGAAGTGAAATTTGTTGGCTAGAAGGTGAATTCACAAAATGATTACAAAAATAACTAATACATACCTGATGAGATATAAAAGTAACATTGCGTTCAAGTTCGTTCACTTGTTCTTCTAAAGATAACTTAGGAGCGTTTGTTGTCGTATCCTTATTACACATATTACTATCATTGCTGCTGTTACTGCTTGCTGTATCAAAACCAATAACATTCTCATTTGAATTGTTCTTTTCTGAGTCGTTCTCTCCATTGATCACATCCTCCTTGTCACCATCATTATCAGTACAACTCATAGCAACACTCGAATCCATACTGCTCTTATCATCATTTCTACGGTATTCACTTTTCATTTGTGGTATGTTCATATGCTCTCATCTACTGATTTCACTGTAACTGATTAATATTTGCATATAATATCACTAATTATTTACAAACAAATGTACAAACTATTATCAAACATAACAGACAAATAGCAGTGTACCGACGACTTGTAATCAAATCGCACGAAACAAGTTAAAAACAAAGTTTCACTCGATGAGCCACAAAAATGCACTGCATCAATACTGACATCGTCTACTTAGAACGATTTCATAATTTTAGTTAAAGAAGAAGACGAACAGAATAAATTTATCACGAGTGTGTTATGTGTTCTTGCAAAAACGCATCGCATAATACCCCTAATCACAGTTCGAATGTTCTATACAAATGAACAATTATTATTCGTCGAAATCAGCTAGTAAAAATTTGCAATATTAACTCAAAATACGATTATGTTAAATAAACAAGTACCATCCAGCAGGGTTGTTGATTACTCTACAAATACAGTGATTCATCAACATCCCTCCCTCCATTTCACTAATTAATATTTCCTTCATATATATATATATA